TGTTCCTCTCTCTCACTGTTTCTCTGTTCCTCTCTCTCCTCTGTTTCTCTGTTCCTCTCTCTCACTGTTTCTCTGTTCCTCTCTCTCCTCTGTTTCTCTGTTCCTCTCTCTCCTCTGTTTCTCTGTTCCTCTCTCTCACTGTTCCTCTCTCTCACTGTTTCTCTGTGTCTCTGTCTGTCTGTAGCTCTGTCTCTGTCTGTCTGTAGCTCTGTCTGTCTCAGTATCTCTCTGTTCATCCCTCTCTCTGTCTCTCGCTCTGTTTCTTCGTCTCTCCCTCTTTCCATCTCTCTCTCCCCGTGCCTCTCACTCTGCCCCTCACTCTCTGTCTCTGTCTCTCTTTCTCTCCCACTGAACGCCACCTCTCTTCCTCTCACTGTGTATCTGTGTCTGTCTCTTTCTCAGTCGAACTGTGGCTATCATGCTCTGTTTTTTTCTCTCTCTCTATTTCCCTATCTCTCATTCTCTTTCTCTCTCTGTTTCATTCTCTGTGGTCCAATCTCTCTCCGTTTCTCTCTCTATCTCACTGTCTTTCAGTCTGACCATGTTTCCCCCTGTCTGTGTCTCACTATCTGTCTGTCCCTCTCTCTGTCACACTCTCCCTGTCTGTCTCCCTCTCTCTGCTCCCTTACTCTCTCTACACCCGCTCTCTGTCTATATCTCACGGAGCTGTGGTTCTCTCTTTCTGTCTCTGTCTCTGCTCCATCTACCTATTTCTGTCATCTTCGGTGTCTGTCACTTAAGCCCCCCACCCCCGCTCGCTCCTTTCCCTTTGTCTCCATCTCTCAGCACCTCCTTTGCTGTTTCTGACAGTCAGTGACTGATGATGGATAACATTCACAATGTGAGAAAAGGTGACAGTTAATTAGAAACAGAGACTGCGTCATCAGCGATGCAGAGGGGATAGATACCCAGCTCTGACCGAGTCCAGCAACATCACACACTCACACACACTCACAGCCCCTCACACACACTCACACCCCCTCTCACACACACACACACACACACCCCCTCACACACATTCACTTACACACACACATCCCCTCACACCCACACACACACACACACTCACACACCCACTAACTCACTCTCACACACACACACTCACACACACTCACACCCCCTCACACACACATACACACACACACCCCCTCACACTCACACCCCCTCACACACACCCACGCACACACTCACACACTCACTCTCACACACACACACTCACACCCCCTCTCTCACACACACACACTCACAACCCCTCTCACACACACACACACACACTCACACCCACACACTCACTGACTCACTCTCACACACACACACCCACACTCGCACACACAACCACACACACACCCACACTCGCACTCACAACCACACACACACACACACACTCACACACACACTCACATGTATGGGTCTGTGTGTGTGTGAGTGAGTATATGTATGGCTCTGTGTGTGTGTGTGTGAGAGTGTGTGAGTATATGTATGGGTGTCTGTGTGACAGTGTGAGTGAGTATATGTATGGGTATCTGTGTGTGTGTGAGTGAGTATATGTACGTATGTGTGTGTGTGTTAGTATATGTACAGGCGTGTGTAAGTGAGTATATGTATGGGTGAGTGTGTGTGTGTGAGTGAGTGAGTATATGTATGGGTGTCTGTGTGTGTATGTGTGTGAGTGAGTATATGTATGGGTGTGTGAGTGTGTGTGT